AGTCAGCAGACTGATTCCTTTGAACCTTTCTGGATAAGGAGAGGATAGGAGATGCCCACATGAGATTTGGGTGGCTGGTTCTTGCAAGGGGGTTGCATGACAGAAGTTTTCCACGCTTTTGAGAGTGCCAGGAAACAATGGGACCAATCAACTTGCTTGCAACTATGGCAGAGCCTTTTAAAAAATCATGAGCAAACCTCATTTTTGAATAATTAGAAATGGATATTAACCAGCTAACAGCTAATAGAGAACTTTAGAACAATAAGTTTGAAAAGTCTTTATCGGATATGTTTATCAACTCTGAACAAAAGAAAATAAAGAATTTTGACTTCCGGTTTGGCGTCACGGTGAGACAGTTGGGGAAATAGCGGGCTCTGATGAGCGCCGCAAAAACCCCAGCTGCCGAACAACTGCTGATGGGTCTTCGGGCCAGAACCATCCTGCAGGGACGGGGAAAAAGAAGGGACACCTCAGATGACCAAGAGGAACAGGCAAGTTCCTCGGAGGTCAGAGGGAATCCTCTGTGAGTTGGCGGCGGGGGAAGGCAGCCATGGCAGCTGCCACGAAGCTGGGACAACCGGGTTAAGAGATGTGCTGGAGGAAAGTGGATTGAAACAGAGCCTTTTGAAGCCAGGTGAGTGACAACCACCCAGGCTTGTAACAACGCCTAGAGCAATATTACTAACTATAAGACCCCTAGCCATAAAACAGCGGCTGAACAACAAAGGGGCTATGGAAAGTTTAAAATGCAAATTTAAAGAGACAAAGATCCGATAAACAACTAACTCTTGAATAGAACTAATGGAATCAAATACCGAGACATGGTGAAAAGACTGGATACTTTAAAATTTGAATTGGATCTTAAAAAAAAAAGACTTGATATTTTTAAAATTAAAAGAAGAAGAGGAAATAAATTGGACTGTTACATAATTGCAGCAAAATGGATACTTGCATGAGTAATGGAAAATGTGGATTGTAGAGGGACACCTTCTGATTTAAAAAGGAACATTGTAACTCACCTTTGTTATGGAAAATTTTGAGCTTTCCTTCTTGTCTGCAGGCAGCTTGACTTTGGTGAAAAGAAAAGGAAATTATAATGGAACTCCTATAACTGAAATAACAATAATTTAAAAAACTGGCGCAGGAATAATGTGTAGATGGATAGTAATAATAAAGAGGTTTTTATAGAAATATAAGAGAAATTAAGCATATTAAAAGAGATTTATTGCTGGGTTTAACAGTAAAAATAAAATGAGGTTAGACAGCCAAAATAAGGAGGAGTATGTTGAGATTAACAGTAAATATGAAATGAATAAATTGGGTTTAAAAAACAGAAACAAAGATAATAATGTTGAGTTTAATAGTAAAAATAAAATGATTATGTTGGAATTAAGTATTTTTTGAATGCTTATAATAACTGTAATGATTTATATTTTTGTTGTGGCTCCGATCCCCGAGCCCATCTTATCAGAGGAAGAAGGCTCCGAACATGAAGGAGAGGAGCCGGCCAGGCCTCCCTCTCCAGGCCCCTCCTCTCTGGCAATGCCTCAGGTGTCTGCCGAGGGAGAGGAGATTGACCAGGAGCCAGGTGTCTCCGATGAGGGGGATAAGTCGTTCCTGGATCCACACCAACGAAGGCAAGATAAACGTTTGCAGCAGATGAGGAGGCGTGCCAGGGATTAAGCTGAGTCACTGGACCACACTCCACAGGCTATATAAGAGAGTGTGGTGGCCATTTAGACTCTGTGACGGACAAAGCTAACTTCTGGCTAGTCACTTTGTACAACGCCTGATCTGCTGAAGGTTTCATGTTTGAGCTGGACTGTTTTGAAAACTGTGTGTATTAGTTGGTGTTATCTGGTGGAGGAACACTCCCTCTTCTTGTAGTAAAGCACTTGGCAGACGGTTATCGTATTGCTGCCAAGTTCCTGATAACGAACCTTGTGTGTGCCGAGTACTTCTTTAACCCCCAGCTGGCTGTTTGTGTGTGTGTGGGGACGGGGACAGAACAATTTTAAAAATATATCCATCTAAGTAAAAAGAAAAAGAAAAATGGAATGATATTTGGTTAGGTTTTAAGATTTAAGTAACGGGTTTTTGGGATAATGGCATAGTTAAATAGATAGAATTGAGGGAAATAACTGAGTAAAATATTAAGTTGTGTTAATTGAAAATTACAATTTTTTAGTGATTTGTATTAATCTGTGACCGGATCAGTGCTTCGTTTTGGAAAAGATGTGTTTTATGTTTATGTTTTAAAAAAAATAATAAAAAACTTTTTTCAAAAAAAGAAAAGAAAAAGAAAATAAAGAATTTTAAGGATTTGAAATAAAGAGCAAAAAACGAAATAAGATTTTGATCTAAGAAAGTTATAAATGGATTAAGGCTACAGATAAATTTGGATTATTGACTTTTATTAGAAGATTTTGGAATTAACTATAAAACATAAATAGCTTCTTATGGGCAAAAACTTATTTTGGCTATTCTGGCTATAACAAAGATCTTTGTTGTAACAAAGATAAGTGATGATTTTAGAAACTGGACATTAGAGGAAACTAACAATTGTAAGCAGAGGAAAAAATACAAGAATGTTCTTGATATCAGTTAATACTGAGGCTTGCAAAAATGACAAAATATTTTAGGATCACAAATATTAAAGGAGAATATTTGAATTTTACATATACAATATACATTTATGATCTTTAGGAGAAATACAAATGTTTTAAATATCCATAGTCAGTATTTCAGGCCAAAATAGAGCCTGGATAGCTCTGCAGACTAAGCACTGTAATTTAACACCAGCTGTCTGCAATTAAAGTAAGTTCGAATCTCGCCAAGGCTCAAGGTTGACTCAGCCTTCCATCCTTTCTAAGGTAGGTAAATTGAGGACCCAGTTTGTGGGAGCAATAAGCTGACTTTGTATAAAATATACAAAAGTATGAAGGCTATTGCTTAACGCACTGTAAGCCGCCCTGAGTCTCCGGAGAAGGGCGGCATATAAATCAAATTTAAAAAAAAAAGACATTTGTAGAGATAAAAAATAACATTAAAAAAATCTAATATAGCTGAAAAGGATAGTGACTAGATATATTCCCTCGAACCCCACCCAGTGAAGGCACTCAGCCTGTGAGAGTGGCCTAGCTCTAGAACAAGCTTCCATTCCTATTTTGTAGATCATCTCGTCTTGGAAATGGGTTGGGCCATTTAGGGACATACAGGGGCCATGAGAGAAAATGGCAACTTGCAAATACTGACATGACTTAATGTGCAAAATATAGTCTTATTTTCTTCCAACCCTCAATTTGTGGTTGATGCCCATGAATCAAACTTTTATTTATGGGCCTAAAATCATTACTGAGGTGTTGTGACTTTTTGTTACATTTGGAATATCAGATTTTGTTAATGATTTATGTTAATTTATTTTTTTATCATGGATGTTTTATATGTCTGTAATGAAGTAAACACCAGGTTTGGGAGTATGCAATTAAATGAACGAATAAGGAAATAAATCATTACAATTGTTTTCCCACCCACATTAATTGCTGCTTCTTTTGGCTGGTACTCTAAATCATTTAAGGAAAAGACTTGGTGGAAATAAATAATTGTGTCAAACTTTCACTCACACACACACACACACACACCAGTAAACTGGCTCTTCTTTACCAATCTTATTTATGGCTAAATGGGTATTGCAAATTTGGCTAAACCAGGCCTGTCAAAGTGGCAGCCAGCGGGCTGGATGTGTCATGTGCAGGCCACGCCCACCCCGGCTCCGCAAAGGTAAAACAAAAATCAATATGTCCCAATACATCATGTGACACAATCAAGTTTGACACCTGTGGTCTAAACTGACAATCCATCTGCATCGTTCCACAAGGGGCCTGGTGGCTCAGCAGACTGATAGCATTGTGATTAACACCAGCTGTCTGCAATTACTGTAAGTTCGAATCTCACCAGGCTCAAAGTTGACTCAGCCTTCCATCCTTTCTAAGGTAGGTAAATTGAGGACCCAGTTTGTGGGGGCAATAAGCTGACTTTGTATAAATATACAAAAGTATGAAGGCTATTGCTTAACGCATTGTAAGCCGCCCTGAGTCTCCGGAGAAGGGCGGCATATAAATCAAATTAAAAAAAAAATATTCTTCAGTTGTGAACACCTGTCTTCTGGAATGATCTCCTATCACAACACCATTGGTCCCAATTCTTTTGCCTTCAAAAAACCACCCTGAGGTTTTCCTTGGGTGTTAAGCCAAGATCAGGGGTGGGTTCTAATTTTTTTTACTACCGGTTCTGTGGGCGTGGCTTATTTTGTGGGTGTGGCTTGGAGATCATGTGACTAGGTGGGCGTGGCTAGCTGGTTAGAGTCATTTCCAGAAGGTCCTCGCACTTATGACCAGTCCTCGCGCTTACGACCTGACTCATTTGTTTGCTTTTAACACTGATCTGCTGTAGGACGGCCCTTTGAAGCCCAGCGGCAAGAGTTTAAACAGTTTTTTTCCCTCTAGTCATCAGCTGGGACTCAAGAGGCAGCAATAGATTGGGGGTGGGACCAAATAAAAGGTAAGAATAACGTGGGTGGGTGGGTAGGGGGGTAGGAGGGGGGGAGAACTGGTTCGGTGACATCATATCGTCACTGCTACCGGCTCAGCCGAACTGGACCGAACCGGGAGGAACCCACCACTGGCCAAGATTATTGGAACTCCAAATTAGAGAGGATGTAAATGTGAGATTCTGGCTGCCGACTTACATCTGTTTGGATTTGAAATGAAAATCTTTCTCCTGTTTTGGTGCATTTCCTGTCATCTAATCTTGTATGCAGTGTTTGAGTTGGATGGACGTATCATTAAAAAAACAAAACAAACAAATGAAGCTGAACAGAATCAGTTGTGAAAACTCCCGGAGTTTGTCTGACCTTTTCCCTTATCTAGTTCCCATAAAAACATTTCTAGGCCTGGGGATGAATAAAATGATCAACCCTTACATGTGATAATTCTTTGATTCTATGACAAGCTTCCATGATTCATCCAGGAAATATAAGCTGAGACAAGAGTAAACATAGTAAGCTTTGGGTAAATGTTGCGTCCGCTACTGGAAACAAAGCTAGTGATTTCACGGACAACATATCTGCCATTTGCCAAGTGTTTAAAGGCCCTCCTGAACGCCCCTAGAATGCAAAGCAAAGATAGGAGAACTACATTACCGAATCTATTGTGCTCTCTGGTTTTGCCACAAAGCATGAAATAGTTGGTGAAATAAACGAAGGTAGGGCAATGTGTAGCCTGCAAATGATCCACCAAGCAGACAACTGCTTTTGCAGTATGGTTATTTTGAAGAAATTTGGATTTCAGAGATATTGCAGGTAAGAAGTGGATAAATAACCAAATCCTCAGACTGGATCCTCAAGGTAAATTTGCCAGAGTTTTCTCAGATAACGAAAAGTTCTTCCTTAGGAAACAGATATTGGATGGTGGATTCTTGGCGTTGAAATTATACACTTCTAAAGAGTCTTAGACCTGAAGTGCCATTTCCAAGCCTTGAGAACTTTTAAGATGTATGGATTTCAACTCTCTTAATTTCCCAGCCAGCATTCTTTCCCTTTGCTTTGCATGGGGAAGACTCCACTGTAGGTTTTGCATCCAATTCTGGCTGTTCCATCTCAAGAAGATTCATAGAACCTGGAATGGGTGCAAATCAATGAGAATATAGAATAACAGAGCTGGAAGAAGACTTAGAGGTCTTCCCTAATTCAATGCCTTGCTCAAGCAGGAGACCCTAAACCAGTGATAACTAACCTTTTTTTCCTCGGGTGCCAAAAGCGTGCATGCCCGTACAGGCCCCCCCCCCCATCCGGCCCCACCCCCCCCCCCCGGGTTGGCCCAGCCCTCCGGAGGCCAGAAACGGCCCATTTCAAGATTTCTGGTACTTCCAGGAGGCCCATTTTTTGCCCTCCACAGGCTCCAGAGGCTTTCCCAGAGCCTCCATGAGGGCAAAAACGGCCTCCCCCGGCCCTCCGGAGGCCAGAAACGGCCCATTTCAAGATTTCTGGTACTTCCAGGAGGCCCATTTTTTGCCCTCCACAGGCTCCAGAGGCTTTCCCAGAGCCTCCATGAGGGCAAAAACGGCCTCCCCTGGCCCTCCGGAGGCCCTTCGGAGGCTGAAAACAGCCTGTTTCCAGACTTCCAGTAGGCCCGTTTTTCGCCCTTCCAGAGCCCTGTACTTACCTGGCATCCAAAACGGGCTGTGTGGAGACTCCTGGGAGGGGCTGGGTGGCATGGGCATGCATGCGCGTCTCCCGCATGCGTGGCAGAGACCCGAAAATCAGCTGGCCAGTGGGAGGCGCGCGCACATGTGCAATGGAGCTGACCTAGGGCGATGGCTTGCGTGCCTGCAGAAATGGCTCCACATGCCATCTGTGGCACACGTGCCATAGGTTCACCATCACGGCCCTAAACCATTCTGGACAAATGGCATCCCTTCTTAAAAACCTTCGGTGTTGGAGCACCCCCAATTTCTGGAGGCAAACCATTTCACTAATTAATTGTTCTGACTGACAGGAAATTTCTCCTGTCATGTAGTTTAGAGATGTGCAACTTAGCATTGCTGAATTTGCACACTTTCTGCCAAATTGAAGTGGTCCAACACAGAGCAGAAGGCTGAGCTAGATAAAACTCAGGCAATTGTGGCAGGCAATGACCTTCCTGAAACTCCTTTCTGTTGTTAACAAGTATATGCTTTTTACACCATGTCTTTATAGCATGAGATTACCAGGCATCCAGCACACACCATGTGTGTGTCCTTAACTGTTAAGCCCCAATAGCATGGATTGCAGCAGATAGCATGATCCATGAGCGGGAGATAGGCTTGCTGCAGAGTTGATGCCAGCTGTCCATTTGCTGTACCAGAGTGATGGCATCAGTATGATCAAGAAGAACAGTAAGTCTAAACTTTATTTTGACTTCCCGCCTTGTAAAATGGAAGGAGGATTTCCCAGGGATGAACAGCATAATGTAGGATAGCATAATGAAGAATCTTTGGTTCTTCACTAACTGCTGAACCGCCTCACCATTGGCCATACCCATGGGGATGACTGGGAACTGAAGTTCAACAGGATCTGAAAAGCCACATGTCCCTCCTATTTCATGCAATGGATAAGTAGATTGCCTATCTAGCTTCATTATTTTTCTTTCAAGGCATCAAGATCAAACTAGGGCAAAGCCAAATGGCAGATCTATATAGCTAGCATAGCGTAGACATAAAGGTGTCATAATTGGAACACAGTTCAAATTCAAGTCTCCACTGGACATGCAGTTGACTGGGTGATTTTGGTTAGTGTCATCCCTATGAGATGGAGAACCAAAAATAAAATCTACAGGACTAGAATACTATAGCAGTAGGCTATAATAATAGAATCTTTTAAGTTTGATTGTACTATTCTCTCTTCTATATCCATCAAATTAGGGAGAAGCCAACCATAGCATCTTCCTAATATTGTCTCTGTTCCCAAGACCCAGGGGTGGGTTCCTACTGGTTTAACAATTGGTTCGCTGAGTGTGCAGAGTTTGGAGAAAAGTCACCTTCCGCATTGCTGCTGGCGAGGAAAACAGTTGAGACGCAGCAATCCACTCTGCCGCGCCGATCAGCTGGGCTTCGGAAACGGAAATATAGGTGAGTGTAACGCAGGGGCGGGCAGGCGGGCCCATCTCAAAGTCGGAGCGAACAGGTTCGCTCACGGCTGAAAGTCGGATCACACAGCTGGCTACAATGCAAGGTCTCTTTGGTTCTATCCTGGTCCTTTAACCACTACACCAAACTGATCCTCCGGGCATTGATTAGATATCTCCCAATGCTAGAGACACTTCTTCCTTGATGCAAATCATTTACTTGATCCAAATCATGGACAGAATCTATGGTTTGTAATGACTAGAAGTTACTTGTATTTTGGGCAATGTGGTAAGCTATGTGCTGCAGAACCTTCAAGGACAACCTAGGCAATAGTTCAGCACATTCAGAACCCAACTCTCCAATAGTTGGCATAATTGCAATCTTTATCATAAATTGGAACCTCCTCATTGGTTTAGCTTCAGATTGACTGGCCCTAGTCATGAGAACATTTTTTGAGAACAACCTCCAAGAAAGTCTCAATGTCTCAACACATCTATTGACCTAAAAAAAACACACACACACACAAAACAAACCCATGAATCCCCAGCTTAAAAAATGCATGGGTAGGACCTAGCAGTTCTCAGGACAACTCCATTTAACCTTCAGCAATATTATTGCTATTCCACTTCAGATGCACAAAGATCTGCTCCGCACTTAGGGTCTGCTCAGTTCCTTCATTCTTATAATTGTCGTGGTCACCAGCCACCAGACGGAAAAGCATTCTTCTATAGATAAGAGAGCAAGGAAATAAAATGGAGCTGTGTCGTGAATTTTGAATCTTTCCATAAATTTCGAAAACGTTACTTAGAAATATTGTCCAATAAGGAACAGAAGTAACAAAGTACTTAAGGCAAAGAAGTTCAGCTTATGGCAATTAATAGGAGTCGCTTCCTACTTTCATAGCACTTGGTAGCCCATGAATATGGCCCACTAAACAATGTTTTTGAATGCACAGTATAATTTTGGCTGCAGTGCTTTCAAAATTACACTTAACTAAAACATGCTACTTATAAAGGTAAAGGTTCCCCTGCACATACATGTTACTCGTTTCCGGCTCTAGGGGGTGGTGCTCATCTCAGTTTCTAAGCCAAAGAGCTAGCGCCGTCTGAAGACGTCTCCGTGGTCATGTGGCCAGCATGACTAAATGCCGAAGGCGCACGTAGAGCTGTTACCTTCCCACAAAGGTGGTCCCTATTTTTCTACTTGCATTTTTAAAGTGCTTTTGAACTGCTAGGTTGGCAGAAGCTGGGACAAGTAATGGGCGCTCACTCCATTACGCAGCACTAGGGATTCGAACTGTTGAACTGCCGACCTTCAGTGTCTTAGCCACCGCATCCCTTATGTTACTTATAAAGACGGCTAAAAAGATATTTGCAGCCAATTCTTTGCTCTCAGCCTTGCAAGGTGTAGTCCAGGCAAGAAGCACAACTAGGAGTATTAGCTCTATCTTTATTGCAAGGTTATATTAACAAAAACTTGCAAGACTGAAAGTATTTCTCCACCTTCTTCTTCCTTCTGTCTCCCAAGGTCATTTCCACATACCATTTCATTTTCCCAGGATTCAAGACATAGTTCTTTTATTAATATTAAGTGACTTACAACCGTTTTTCACGGTTACGACCAATGCAGTATCCCCATGGTCACGTGATCAAAATTCAGGCGCTTGGCAACTGTCATGTATTTATGACAAATGAACTGTCTCTGGGTCATGTGACCAACCTTCCCATCCAGCTTCCATCAAACAAAGACAATGGGCGAAGCCCAATTCACTTAACAACCGCATGATTCACCTAACTACTGCAGTTGAGTCACTTAACAACTGTGGCAATAAATATTGTAAAATGCCCTGCTTAGCAACAGAAATCTGGGCTTCATTGTGGTCATAAATTGAGGACTACTGGTATAGCTTATATGACTACCAACCTCCTTTAAATGAAATAGTGTCACTGAGGAATGGGGCTGGGTGGGAAGTGTGCTCTAACATTAATTATAAAGAAATGCAGAATTAGTGAAAAGAAAATGAACCCAACACAGAATTTCCTCATAAAATAGTTATCAGCTTTATTATTTCCAGTCAAGATAACCAGAGCAAGACTTTGTTTCAATGGAAAATTTTTCCAGCAGATGAACCAAAACTTCTAATGCTAGCTCCTGCATTCAGAATCTTAAGTCCTTTCACCCTGTCTCCGTTCTTCGAAAATGCTAAAAGAATTGTATAGAAACCAGCCTTGTCTTTTTTAAAATGGAAAGATGGAATCATGCAGATAGGTTTTGATCTGTAATGTCAACCAATCGGCGATTAAAAGTGTGGTGTGCTCATAAAATACCCAGTACTTATAAAAATCCAAAATCTGTTTTTCCCTTTGGACTTATACCTTCCATTGAAGGTGAAAAATGCTAATTATTTATAAGTTACAAGTATTACCAGCATAATTGTCAGTTATAAGAAAGTTGCTGTTTGGGAGCTGACAACCTTGTTACAGAGCGGACTCGCTCCTTCCTGCCCCTTATCTGAGGAAATTCAAGAAATGTACATCTGAATGTTTTCTTAGAAACATTACAAACAAATAATAAGGGCAAATTTTTGGTCCAGCAGATCACTTTGATTAGTAGTAACCATGATCACTTTACTCAAGTTGCTTTCCTAGTTGGGTATTTCTTGTCAACAAAATGCAAACACCAGTATACAGACACACACACACAAATTTGGGGTTTTGCGTTGCTTTAACTCTCATCCCGATGTGAGTAAACAATTCGTTTGGCAGCTGGTTTCTCATGAGAGACAGCTTCCTGCTCTGCTAGTGTTTTGTTTTGTTTTTTTAAAGGCACATTAGCAGCTTTCCTTATTCCTGGCAGTGCAGTGTACCGCTAAGGCTATGGATGTTTCTGAAATCAAGCCACATACCATCTCCCACCACAGCAGGATGTTCACACCAGTGCAGTCTAGGAAAGCCAGGCTGGGCCCGGTTTAGTCATAAAGAATGCAAGCAAGTTGCAGCCTTCTGAAGGCCTAGACCGCAGGGGTTATGAGGAGAATTAAAAGGCACATCAAGCTCAGACATGGGGAAGGAATTCCTTCTCTTCAATTTGCAGCTAGAGGACACAGTTTTAATTCTTCCACAGAATCGTCAGTTGCTACCTGCAGCATGCTGGCAAAGTTTCCGAAGCTTGAGGTAAAACACGGGCCACAGCCTGTGCAAAAGGGCTAGGATTTCAGTCGCACAACAATACTGCAGGCCAGCATTTGCTATTTTAATTGCAGGTGGCTGCACTGAGCCTTTGGAAGCAGAGGTTTACCTGCTTCTCACCTGCATGTCAGTGCAAAGACCTTTAAGACAGCTGAGAAAGCATTAGAATTACGGAGATTTCTCCTCCCAATGCCCAATATTGTCAGAAGCCGCATTTTCTAATGTAACAGATTAAAGTCATTATCTTTGGCATCCAATTATTCTCTAAAACTACACACAGACAATTTATTCCTTAGGACAGAGCCTCAAAGTACTACTTCCTATAATATTCACAACATACAAATTAGGGAAATGTTTGAGTTCACATCTGGCTGATGGCCATTTTTTCTCTACAGCCATAGGAACATCACCAGTATAGTCTGCCTCAGAATGTGGAACTTTGATAATGCATCTAGTATTCTAAAGAGCAAACATACCAGCTTGCAATTATTTTTATCAAGAAAAGCCCAAATAAACCGATATACCGATGTTGGCTGTTTTTGACCTTATTGCAAAAGGCACAAGAGTGTTAACAGGCAAATTTTGGATTATGCAGCAAATTGGTTCCTCCTCTTATTTCCTGATATGTACCCTCTGTTGCTAGAAAGCAAGTTCAGAAGAGTGGGAGCTTTGACAAGAGATGCATTTCAGAGCTGCTTTGGTCTTTTTCTTGGACTGCTTTAGCTGAAATGCCAAATCTGATGAGCATCTGCAGTGTTGCAGGGAGCCATGGATGGATGCTCACCTCTTGCAGACAAACACCAGTTAATTGCTACATTCTTAAGCAGGTGATCCTAAAAAAAAAAACAAAAAAAACAAAAGGCATACTGTTGAGATAAAACAAATTAAAAACAACAACAACAAAGAGATAAAACATAATCAAAGACTCCACTGGCGAGGAATTCCGGGAGTAGAATGTTAATATCTTTTTTTTTTGTTACTTGGAGGGAAATTCTACAGCTAGAGGTTCTATTAAGCCAAGAAGATGCTCAACACCAGGACTGTCAAACTGGCAGCCCGCGGGCCGGATGCGTCACATGCTGACCATGCCCATCCCAGCCCCACAAAGGGGAAAAACATTGCGATATGTCACATGACAGCAATCTGACAGCACAAGTTTGACCCCCGTGCTCTACACAGAAGGGCACACTGGCCATGCTTCCACCTGGAGGACCTTGTAGTGTGGCTCCCATTTAGTCAACCTATGCCCTACCCTTTGAGAAAAGTGGTGCAATCGAAGCTAGCAACAGCCACATTTGCTGATGTAACATCACCACCTGGAGCATACTCAAACCACTTCCTGTGTAGTAGGTAGCAAAAGAAGGAGAACTTTTTTCATCTGCAGGTGCAGGGGAAAAAGCTATTTTTTATGTGCAGATATAGGTGGAAATGTATCACTCCCAGCTTCTGCGCTGATAAAATCATGATATCTGAGGATGGAATTAGACTTCCGCTTCTTAACCCTCCATGACAATTTTTGAACTGCCAACGTTGGTTCACATCTGGAGGGTTTCACCCAGAGGTCTTCAAACTTGGCAGCTTTAAGACTTGTGGACTTCAACTCCCAGATTCTGGTTTAACCAAACAGCCTCTTTTGCTGGCTGGAGAATTCTGGGAGTTGAAGTCCACAAGTCTTAAAGCTGCCAAGTTTGAGGACCCCTGGTTTAACCAAACAGCCTCTTTTGCTGGCTGGAGAATTCTGGGAGTTGAAGTCCACAAGTCTTAAAGCTGCCAAGTTTGAGGACCCCTGGTTTAACCAAACAGCCTCTTTTGTGAAAATTTATCTTTCTCTGAAAAACCTTTCCATTGACTTTGGACAAAGACAAGGAAAGAGGAGATTCATAAGCTTTGAGAAACATTTAAATATATATGTGAACTATTTCCTTAAATGTTTATCTGACTTTGAAACTTCATTTAACTCCCACAGCTACAAAATGGGAACTGAACAGCTCTTCTGGTTGATTGCTAGGTGATGAATGATGTCTCTCTCTCCCTCAAGAATGATGTCATGTAAAATTACGGTTGATTGGGCATTAACTCCAAATAGGGACAAAGGATTTCTTTAAAACATTTTTCAGAATTTTAATTGGCTTCACTGCATACCTAACAATCAAAATTTGGCAAATAGATTCCTTCTCTTCAAATGATTTTTGCCATTTTGCTCATGGCAGAAAAAGCCATAATCTTTGTAGCAGAGACTGGGTGGCATACAAAAAATATCTGAACATAAAAAAGGCGGAATAATTTTTTTTTTAAAAAAAGCAAACATTAAAAACATACCATAATGAAAGCAACAATATTAGGAAAGAGTATCTTCAATGTTACAAGGAATGCAACCATCTCAGTAAATTTCCCTTCCCTCAGATTCTCAAGCCTTTTGACATAGTCACATTTTGAAGGATTTCTGGAAGCTACCAAGGATGGGGCCGGTCTCACCTTGGGGGGAATGATGTTCCAGAGGCTGATGCCATTGCAGAAACAGCCATGATCTTTG